ATGGAGTCACACGCCTCCGATCCAGTACAGCGTGGCAGAGCAGAGAACAAGAAGCCTGTTCATGTTGGGATGCAAACAGTAGGGCTATAGGACTCATGTATGCTCAGTGGAAACACACAAACACACATGCAGAGAGGGTGACATCATACGGACAGGCCTTCAGAGGCTGGAGATGTTGTGTGAAGAGTGTTGTTCACAGAACAATGACACTGACTGTGTACAGGAGAGCCATCTGTGTGAGCACTTCCTATGAGCTCAAAACGAGTCTGCAGGAATTCTCCACTGCGCTGAAAACTCTCCCACATGTACTTATTAGCAGTTATTGAGGAACTGGCGGGGAGCCATTCGTGTCACTTGACCAGAATGTTCTCTCTCATCTGAAGGGCAAAGTCATTGAGCCTGGCATCAGCCTTCAAACCTCCCCCTTCCTCTTTCGTCAACCTGTGAATGTTGTAGCTTTCTCCATTTTGGCTTGTCTTCAGAGCAGCTTTGGGAAATGTATGCTAACGGGCCAAGGTTATTCCCAGGGTGCTTCCCAAACAGTGAAGACACAACTGTTTATCAGTTTCTGCCTCCTCACCGACCTCACCTCTGACCCCTGGGCCACACTCTACTTCTATGTTTCTTTCCACGTCTAGACTTGACAAACATGGAAACATGGGACTGGAGCCAGGCTGCTTCTCTAACACCTTCCCATCGCTCTCTCTATATGTACTTACAGAGAGGTTTTGGGTCAGCGTAGGATAAAGGGGAAATGCTTTAGAGATATTTGCCTGTGCTAGCAAATTCCCAGGTTATCGGCATCACCCTTTGAAAAAAGAGAACAGGTCACCAGCTCTTTTCCATCTTAAATGATACTTTATGTCCAAGTAGCCACAAGAGTATTTACCGGAGCTATGGATCTGGTTTTGATCCATTTAGTTGTGGCTTTTTACATTTGAGTTTTGCTAGAAGCACTGTTATAGGGAAAGCAATGCCATTTGGTCAATTGCATTGGTCCACACTGTAATATCTCCAACCATTGGATGGATTATCATAACATTTCATAGTTGTGTTTCCCAGAGGAAGAATCCTATGTTGCTGAACCCATGACTTTTGCCACATCAGTTCAAATCTGCTAGCATGCTAATATGCTAAACTAAAACGATGGCCATGGAAAACATACCTGCTAAACATCGTCCTGCAAGAATGAAAGGACTGTATCGCCTGTCCATAACAACTATCAGCATCAACAGCAGTGTGTACCTCTGTCCTACCTCACTGGTACCCAGATGTTATGTACTGAATGGCTCCTCTCTCCCACTGTACAAACAGACAAACGGGACAGCAGCCATACTTTCTTCTCCTACACTTCTCCATCGTTCCTTCCTTCCACCAACATTGCCTTCCACACCATCTTCCTGCTCGGAAATCACTCATGATTTATCCATTGATGGAGTTGTACCGCTGGTCTGATGTCACTCAAAATCCCCCTCAAAGCCCATTCCCAGTAACCATGTTACAGGCAAAATACATTCTTCCACTGCTCCCTCATTGTCCACTGAATTTCTTCCTGAAGCTGGGGTCCAGATTCAATTTTTGCATCGATCTCGTGCAAAAAAAGGGTAAAGAAATCAGATCAGAGGAGTACTAAAAGCTTTCCCCTACATCAATCCAAATACATGAATAAGTTACTGGTGGCTTGGTATGTTTTAGGGGATATTACCTTAGTTATGCCATTTCAAATATGAAATCAAAAGTACCATAATGTATAATAAAACCTACCATTATTTTCAGTCAAATGGCAATGCTGCAGCCTATGCTAGGAAAATGATCTAATAGATTGTTGCAGTCACATGCATTAAACACAGGAGAAACTGTGCCTAAATAAACGATTAGTTTCTAACCATTCGCTCATCTATTACGTCTCAGAAACCTGGTTGAGTGTTCATACCTGGGCTCCTGTGTACGAGCCGGCCTGCAGCAGCCGACTAGCTCCAGGTCCAACTGTGACAAGGCCCGGGCAAATTCCTCACCCTGGTGCCCAAGTACTTAAGACTTGTCACGGCCAACTTTGACAGACGACTTTTTGAAAGCAAAGAGATATGCATTTTACAGCATGAAGCCTCTGCAGTGACGCAGGGTGAAAAATGCATGTTTCATAATGTACAATAAAACCTACCAAAACTGGATGTCCATTCAAAACCACTCAGACCTAGCGACTGGTCTTTAACCTCCCTAAGTCCTCCCACACTGCCACACTTGTCCCTACTTCCACTGACTACCAGCCTGAATCTACTTTAAGACACTGGTACTGGCCTACCTTGCTGTGAAAGGATCAGGACATTCCTTCCAACATTTAGGAGATGATAAAACCAAACACTCCTGTAGAATCCCTTCGCTCTGCATCGGCCAATAGGCTCTCTACTCCCTCACTTCCTCACTGGAACCACGTACCCCTCTACAAAAACACCTGTCATGGTTCCAAAATGGTGGAACAAGCTCCCCATTGATATCAGGAGAGTAGACAGTATTCTGTTGCATACTGAAAACACGTTTGGACACTACTATGACAAATAATACATGTACTGGTCGCCGTGTGGAGGACCCAGGTTTGAATCCAGCCTGGGATCATTTACAAATGCCATCCCTTCTGTCTCCCTATTTCAACTCCGTCAATTTCCAATAAAGGCTAATCTAGCCCAAACATATACAATTTTTTTTTCATTCTGTACTTAGCACTTGGAAAGGTTTGGCTTATTTGAAACCGGATGTACTATCACTTATATTGGTTTGAGTGAGCGCTAATGTACCTGCAGAATTATTGCGGTTGCATCTTCATGGTTGAATGCACTTAATGTAAGTCACTTTGGATTAAAGTGTCAGCTAAATGTAATGTAAAAGATGTGATGAAACTGAAATGCTGGCCAGGGATGCTTCAGGTGTAGCAACACACATAGATGTAGTAGTTGCTGCATTGAGGCTATCTCTGGTATGTAAATCAGTCCAATCCAGTCCTTAGGTCAACCTTGACAACACGTCTAATTTTGAGACAACTTCCTACCCACCAGTGGACAGCAGACAGACAGAATTATCTCGCAGATTAAATGGTAGTGACTAGTATTGATTTATAGATCTGAACAAAAGTGAGCCGTGTGCGTGCATGAGTGTGTGTGTGTCAGCGAGGGTGTGTTCTGATGGCCTGCATTAAAAAGAGTAATAACCTCACAGATGGCGAGGGGCCGGTCCGGAGCGGGCTATGTGATGGAGAACAATCGTTGAGGCTTGATTGCTCAAGGAGCACAAGGCAGACCTGACAGGGGGAGGGGTGTGTGTGTGTGTGAAGTGGGAGGAGGGGGTTGTTTAAGTTTAACTAGGCCACTGCTACCCATTACAAGGCTGACAATGATATGGTTTGTCGCGCGCACAGAGTAGATCAAATCAAATTTCATATGCTGCTCCCGGGTTTCATCTATTTGATTCATCATCACCTCAAGTATGTGGAAATCATTTGTATTCTTCCAGAGCAGCCCATTCATCCCTCCCTGTGGAGAGATGATTCAGTATTATATGGATAGGTGCAAAAGTCAGCCAGTGTAAAAGGACAATAAATCCACCTGTCACTTATGCAAAGTGATGTAAATGGGGGTCTCTGATTAAGACACAGAGTCATTTAAAAAACAGGGACTAGCAGAACCTTGACACATGCACTCTCTCTTCCACACACACAGTCTGTAGCTGCGTTTTACACATGTATGCACACCATCTCAAACTCACACACGCGCTTTGATAGTATCTCAAGCCCACTCTCCTCTCACACACACACTAAAATCCCCCGCCGCCCCGCGCTGCCACCAGAGCAGTTTATCAAGTAATTATTGTTTGATTACAGCGTTTCATTATCTGCACTGATTGAGTCACAACCGACGGCAAAGGTCAAGCGCCATTAACGCGCTGCTCCCGAAACATATTTCCACGCCGGCCGCGTGTTTGCCCTCCCTCTCCTCTGAAAAGGCTAATTGCAAATGCATTTGTTTGAGGAAGAGGAGAGGAGACCACCCGCTCCAGTCTCCCCCATGTCCCACTGAGACGGAATATCAATGCAGCCCAAAGCACGCCGACACACACACATGAAAAAACACACACATGGGAGCAGTTTGGGACCATATCCAATCATACTTAACAACTGATAGCCATCAAATACAGATCCAAATGTGTTCATAAAACCATTTTGGACAATAAGGGGGTGATTGACTTCTTCTCATTTTACATATTAATTATGAGTTCTTCATGGCCAAGATCTGGTCAACATCACTGGGTTTACCAACATGTGATTGTACCCTGTGTAGTTAAAATACTGTTTACGTCGTGCAGCTCTGTTGGAAACGGAACAACTCTCCTGGATTATTTTAGTTTTATATTTATAAGTGCGTTAATAACTGCACGTTTGAATAAAACGTTGGATGACTAAATGTTTGCTTGTCTTTTGGAGTTTGCAGTGAGAACAGACATGCATCTGTTTCTAACACAACTTAATTCTACTAACAATCTGATTGTTTGGTAAACAGGAAGAAGAAAACGTGCCTCTAAAGCAGAGTAATAGCTCCCTGATCTGAAATCAGCTTCACCTAGCCTTTTTGCAAATTGTGCTGCTGTACATCCAAAATGTGCTTGGAAACGTGCAACCAATCGAAAAGGAAACTTGCTGTTGTCGTTGCGCTGGAAATTATTTCAAATTTGACCTTGATGTGCCCAACCTCGCAGTGACCAAATCACGTATCATGTGAACGCAGCTTAAGAGAGGCAGTAATGTTCAACATAATGTAAATACACTGCTAATAAAGAAATAACCACATATGATGAATGTAGTTGACCAAGCCATGCTGCTAGAGCGGCTTTAAAAAGACATCAGGACCTAATACCATTGCTGTCATTTCAGTAGCAGGAAATCAGACAGTAGTGTAGTTAGGTAGGTGTCAGTGTGAATGCATGTGTGAGAGTGATGTAAAATGGCTTCCTACCTGGGTGGAAAGGAGATCTCCAGCTCATGCAGCCGATCCTTGTACACCGACAGCTCTTTGTCATACTCTAAAAGCTGTGGAAAAACAAAATAAAAAGAACAGGAATTATGAGTGAGAGAAATTGTTATTCACATTTGTTTTTGTCTACATTTCTGGATCAAGGGAAATTCAACGGAGCTTGAAGTGAGCTCTTTTTCAACTCCGATCTGCTTAACATAAATACATTTTTAACACACTCTCAAAACCTTGGTTGGTACAAACAGTTTTCCCATGAGCTGTCATAGGTCAAACTCTAGAATTGTCTTCTGTAAAATAAGAAAAAGAAGTAGACTCATTCCAAAAAACAGGCACATGGCAAGACAAATTGAGGACAAAAAAACTGCCTTTTTTTGGACATTTTTTTTTTATATCTGATATTAACCTAGAAGCCACTACTTATCTATCATGAACCCGAGTGAGGGGTGGATGAGAATAAGCCAAATGAGAGTGCAGGAGAGTAGATTCCATCTTTTGCTATATTTAGTTATCTCCATGTTCCCCACGCTGGAGAAAATTGAAAGCAGTTGACCATTCGTGTGTGTGTGTGTGTGCTACTAGCCCTGTCCAATGGGGGTCTATTCCTCCACACTGACAGTGCATCCACACACTCTTCATCAATCATGTCTCCTCACCCAGCTGTACTCACTCACTAGAGTGTACACACACACGTCTCCCAATTTCCCCCCTTTCATAAAACCCATAAATCATTAGTGAAAAGTGCAATTAGCGACTCCTTGTACACATTAATTATCTGGGAGATGAACAGGTAGCTCGGGCACCTGCATGACTGCCTCCCTGAGAGACTGACAGCGACGTTTCCCAGCAACCCCGGAGGACCCCGCGCTAGCCCCGCCCCTTCCTTTCAGACAGGAAGACGTGGAGATATGTTCATTTGGTGGTAAATTGGGCTATTCTACATGTTTCAAACACCGGGCTACAATTATGTCCTGATGAAGAGCTCATCCCGGGCCGTGTGAGTCTGACAGCGGCTCTATAGGAAGATGACGTTAATGACATTACATCGCTGTATTACATGCAGCAATATGTTGATGGCTACATGATGAAATACCAGCGGGGATGACGCATAGCACATGGGTAATATTTGGAAGGACGTCCTCACAGAGTGGATACATGGGATATGATTATATCAGCAGAAGGTAACTACAGTCTTCCATCGTGGATGACATATTTATGTTGTGCATGTATCACCGTGTGTGTTGCCAGTCTTCAAGGCACTGTTGAGCACACACATGTTTAAAAAAATCAAGTATGTGCCATCGCGATGATGCTCGGTGTGTTGGTGTGTATGTGTGATTATGTGCCAGTGGTGTAGAACAGTGGCCATTACTTGCAGGCGGGGGGGGCCTCCCAGACGAGTCTCAGAGGTTCAGGAGGGCAGATGTGCTGCATTCATCAAACTCACAGAGCCGGGGTCACAGGAGAGACCCACACACTGTGGATGAGGGATGGCTGAGCAGGGGATGCAACCCCACGCTCCGCTGTACACCCGTCTCACCATCCACACACTGACACCGCCATGTGTGTGTGTGTGTGTGTGTGTGTGTGTGTGTGTGTGTGTGTGTGTGTGTGTGTGTGTGTGTTACAGTCTGACTGATGTTGGATTTATGAGGCCAAAAGCAATAAAGATCATTGAGAGTTGAACAGAATAAAAATCGGATAATTCATTGAGAAACTGAAATCTGTAAATATAATGCGCAATTGGCTTAAACCTGCATTCTTATACCGGCTAAAGGGGGGCAACTCCACTGGTCGCAAAAATAAGTCTAATTGTATAATGGTCTATGAGAAAATGCCCCTACTTTTCAGTTTGTGTAAGTACTGTGGCCGACAGGGGCAAACGCACTGCAACGTCCCGAAACACACGCGATGTGCTTTCAAAAATGTGTAAATATAAAAACCAAAGAACGTGCAAATCAAGAAACATCTTCACCAACATCAAAACACATGCCCACATTCGGGATTATAAAATTGTCCAACAATCACTGTTGTTAGAAACGTACTTTAAATGTAACTGTAAAAATGTGATCACATGATTCCTTCTGATTTAGTAAATGCTGCGCATGTTTCGTCAAGTTGGGGAATATTTTCGAAACGTTGGGCATGTTTTGTCAAGTTGCTGAGTTTTTTTTATTTGCATGTGTTTTGGTACATTTGTGTTTTTATACTTGCACCACTTTTTGAAGCTGCAGCGCGTTGAAAGTGTTTTGAGCCATTGTAGCACACTTGCCCTTGTTGGCCACCATATATAAGAGTATATTAAGCAATACATTCTCATACTTGAATAATGGCGCATGCCAAAATCAATAATTGACTATTTTACACATGTTTGCACCTGATTGTGTTTGTTTGAAGCTAAGCACCTCATTTTGTATGTGTGTGACAGTTTAAGCAGGGGATGAGCAACATATGGTTGTGTGTATCTACCTTAAGTGAATGTTGAGAAATTCATTCAGGTGAATGAAAAGCCCTGCAGCGACAAATTTCACACCACATTTCATCCCAGTGTCAATTAAGCATAATGCTCCGCTGCTCTGCCGGGTGAGTGGTTTAGAAAAAAAAACCCGGCTTATATTTGTTCATGGCCTCATGACATTATAAAGCCAGGAGTAGTTTGTCAACCAGAGATGACCTTGGGAGTTGGTGGTGATGCGGCTGCAGCAATATCACAGAGGGAAAAGATGAAGAAGTGTCGGGGTAAAAACTACCCTGTCATGGGTGCACATTTCTGTCTTTGCTTGGACGAACAGTGCGCTCCTAAATCAGAGTGGCAGTGATAGTTAGGAGGCAGGAAGTAGAAAAAAAGGGAATACGAGGTCTTTGGCCCCCAACTGTCCCTCTCACGGTGCCACCACCTGTAATTGTGCTTTGATTTACGCGTTGTCAAATATCCCCTGTGACAACACCTTCTGCCATTAAAAGCCATCAATAAATGTTGGGGTGAAAGGTCATTTAATTTGATTTTTACACCTTGCACTTGGCTTTCATTGCAGGGGCCATATTTTACCTTTTTTTATGGGATGTTCATTATTATTTTGTGAGGAAAAGCGATAAAATGTCACTGGTAAGGTGGGGGTGGCCGATTGGTGTTGAGAGGGACCAACCCAAACTAAACAACACTACTGTGCTTCTGAACCCTCCTTCCCATGTTAATGATCTGGGTACAGTGGAAGGATATTGGAAAAATGTCAGAAGAAAAGACAGTGACTTAAACGATAAGGGGATAATTTTGACTTCCAAAGACTCAAGTTCAATGCCATATGGCCGTACGAAGAAATATTGACAAAAGTGTGAATATGTTTGTGCAATGAAACTGGAATAAAAACATTCAAAAAGTAAAAAAAAACTAAACAGGGACAAGACAACAGGGACCACATAAGGGGGTTTATATAAGGTCGGATTTCATTTAGCATGGCTTCTGTATCCCCCCTTAAGAGCTTTGACGGGTAAAAAATGAAATATAACTTTAAGCCGGAGCGGCATTTGTTCTTTATTCTTTTATGTCCCCTCATGTTGAAAACGTCTCGGGGCCTTTGAGTAATGCAGAGGACTACGCCGCCCGCATGACAAGGAGAGGCAGGCCAGACAGAAAGGTTCATCACTTCCTACAGCCAGTACACAAACGCACCCCCCTCTGCCGGCCCCCCATCTGCCGACACCACACTGATAAAGTTACAATAAAGAGATACTGAAACAAAATCAATGTGGACGGAGGAAGGGGGGGGGGCCCCGCGGGTGTGTGCTCCAGGAGAGGGAAGAAAACTGTGCAGATCTACAGCACGCAACACACACACACACGCTCCTCCCATCTCTCCACCGGAGCAAGGCCCCGCGGTGCCCCTTGACGCCAGGAGCGCCCGGAAAATGTAATCTTCCCAAATACTCATCAGGGCTCTCCATCGTCCCGCCCTGACAGCGCCGGGGATAATTAATTATACAATTTCGATGGGAATATCGACTAAACAAACCTATTAATCATCGCAAAAGTCAATAGGCATGGACACATTCAATCATGTCCCGGCCAATGATTACTCCTCTCAAAATACAATAATTATTTTCAAAAGCTGCCTCGAATTAAATTTCTGTCAAGCCGGTACAAGTCTTGCAGTTGATGAAGGATGCAATGGATTTTTTTTTTCTTTCCCCCCCTTCCCCAGTGGAGGAGTGAGAGGAGGGACATTTATCCTTTTGGAAAGGTAGTTTGTTTTATAAGGATCATAACATGGTGTGTTTAACTAGACCATGACCATCAGATTATCTCTGAGGCCCCCATTATGTCATCCATCTTGTCAGGCTTGGTGAGGAGGAGGGGGTGGAGGTGGAGAGGGCAGTGTGTAGTGGTTCCTCAGCCTCCTACAGCTTACACACTTTCTACACATTTCTGCTCCTCACATTCAATAATTCTCTGCCGTTCAGTATAATGTAAGGTCATTATCTGTCCATTTGAAATCTCATCTTTGGTTTAATAGCTAAAAGATGTCACTTCCTGCAATCACAAGATGTCTGTTTGAATGCTTCTATTAAGAAGAAATAACCACATAACAACATTGATTTAAGGAAACATGTTTACACAATATTTCTCCCTTGTGAGTAACCAGGATTTCATTTATCAGGGCAACTTTGGGTGATTTCAGTGCAGTTCTAGAAAAAGTTCATTTGCAACCTAATTCATTAGTGATATAATGTTACAGTGCATAAAGCAGAGCAATGCTGAACATGAGCATTTTAACCCAATGAATCAGCACTGATGTGTAAGGTCAATATCTGCCTCTTTCCAATCCCATCTTTGGTTTAATAGCTCAATGATGTCACTTCCTGCTGTTTTGGTGAACTGCCTTTATCACAAGGGACCTTAAATGATTATATTTAAGAAAAATAACAACATTGATTTTAGGAAACAAGATTTATTTCTCCCTCGGAAATTACTAGGTTTTCAATTGTTAGGGCAACTTCCGTTCAGTTTTGGAAAGGCTTGATACAGAACAAGGTAAATGTAATATGATAACACAGTTCAGACAATTATAATCTAAAATGACCAGACTGTTATGACTGCAGTGGCACAAGCATAAAGCAGGGCAGTGGTGAACATGTGCTTTTTGACCCATCTGTCAATCAATTAGTGTTTCTTTACAGATAGAAACACACAGTGAGCTAGTCTAATTCAGGGGCATGCAAAACACAGGTACATGCAAAGGCAAATACCTTTTATAAAATTGTTAGATGCATAAAAATAAACGTGTGCCATATCACATTTATCTTACAAAAAGGTGGAAGAAGATCCCTTCTAAATAATAAGTGGGAAAATACTCCATTACAAGTAGAATTCTTGATTTCAAGATGTTACATAAGTATTATCAGCTAAATGTATTTAACCCTTCAATAGTAAAAGTACTTCACAGTAATATATCATTATAGAAATAGTATTGTATATTTTTTTCATTAACAAAAAACATGTACGAGTGGGTTGTATAGTCATTTTTTTATATGGATCCAATGTGTGATACTTTGTAAAATAGTTGAGGGTTGAATGATCACATCATACTGTATCAGCATATTGTGTTTTCAGATGAAAAAAGTAACTATAAATGTAGTGGAGTAAAAGGACATGAATTGCCTCTAAAATGTAGTGGAATAGGAGTATATGTAGGTAAATTGGAAATACTCAAGTAAAGTATATAAAATAGTTAAGTACAGGGATGAGTATATTACAGTTAGTAACAGTCCACCACTGTTCTTACACAACAATTTAACAAACTTCAGGAGCGGATGAATGTAACTCTGTTTAAAAGGTGTTATATAAATAAAGTTTATTAGTGATGCTGCTCTAATAGACATGTTCCTTGGAATTCAAATGAAACGGTAACATCGCAATACAACTCAAATTAAAGTTTATCATTGTTACTTTTACTATGTTGTTATGGTATGTGGCCAATAATATTAATACACTCTAGGCTTCCAGACGAGTGGCTTCACACTCCATTCTGCTGATGTGTAAGTGTGTGTGTGTGTGTGTGTGTGTGTGTGTGTGTGTGTGTGTGTGTGTGTCCTTCATGTTTTTTTTAACAAGGTCCAACTTTGAACTACTTAATGTAATAAACAGCCGTATAAAAGTGGAAGTGTGTGCTGGAATTCTTCCTCTGTAGACATGTAACACTCACCTCATCTACACACAGGGTGTTTCTCAATGTCGAGTACGCTTGCTTGGTAGCACATGTCTTCCGAGTCACTTGCTTCAGAAGCGAGGCAAGAATACTTCCTGGCATTCGGAAAACGAAGAGTGGAACAGGCGAGCAAGTGTGCAGGTGTGCGTCATATGAGAGGCCCCGCCTTACATTTTCCGGCACAGATTTGGGGAAATTGGTCCGTGCGCAAAGCATTGTGGGGATTTTAAGACCGCGGAGTCTACACATCTGCAGCCTCAAAATTTCTCGCAACGAAGTACGCCGGGCTCGGTAGAATTCCAAGTATGCTGGACATTGGAACAGTCTTTCGGCGGCACTCGATGACGTAGTATGCTTGAAATAGTGGCTCTGGAGCAGCTTTACTCGACATTGAGAAACACCCTCTGTCTCATTTAACAGTTATTCCAGAGACATTAGGCCCCACAGTGGGGACAAAGGGAGTGTGTGTTGTGAAGTGATGTGAGGGCTTCAACTAAAGCAAAGTCATGACTGAGGTCAGCAGCTGCCACAACAACTTCTTAGGAGGGCTTATTTTATTATTCATATTATCTTAACAGGAAATGTCCTAAAATGAAGTTGTGTAACTTTGGTTAAGAGGTTTGGTAGGGCCTTAAAATCAACCCTACATGAACCCGGCTTGCACAATGTCCAATTCTCAATTAAAAACCTACATTTGCATTGTTAAAACATCTAAATCAAGTCTTGTCAGTGCAGTAACAGACATTTTTAAAACAATCTCTGTCATCCACCTTCACCTCCTGCATGTTCAGCACAGCCTAAGAACTCACATATACCTTCGCCATGTACTGTTAAATAGAGATTTCTCCTCATTAATAGGAGGTAGTATGTTAGGCAACTGCTTTCAGTGACATGACTTTCGAACAGCAGCACAAAATCATTAAGACAACAGAGAAATGTAGATATTCAAATTATTCAGTAGGTTATTGATTATAGCACGGATAACGCACAAACCCGATTTGGTTCAAGCCCGGGGGAATTTTGAGAAATTACAGCACGGGTCGCCCCCAATTGGGTTTCACCACAGAATCAAAGCTCTAGTCCCTTTTGCAGATAATCAATTTGAAATGTAGTTAATGGCAGGCGTAGCTACTATGAGGTGGAAAAACAATCACTATACAGTTGATGGAGTGAATTTAATTTGTGATAAACATTGGAAGTGTAGAAATAAGAGAGCAGATGGATATATAAAGAGCTGGAAAGCAAAGAGGTGACTTACTGGGCTCCCATTGTTTTCCCGGAAAACGTCCTGGTTGACATAATTAAAAAGCTTCTTTTCAAGTTGAAGAACAACCTGGATCAGAGGCAGGAGAGAAGCTCTGATTAATAACAATACTAATGTCAACTGCACTTGGTAATTAGAGCACTAATGAACAGCAGACAGCACTGTGCATTCTACACGCGTCTCTCTGAGGCACCACTATACTCTGAATGTTAACACAACTTGTAATAACTCAGGTTGAGCTGTATGACATGTATAGAACTGGAAAATGATTAGAATTTGAAGCTTTAATCACAAGTGCAATATTCCTTTTTGAACATGCATTATAATAATGTTCCTATTAAGGCCTGCTCACACCAGATATTTTACACCCTAGTCAATTAATTTAAATTGGCACGCAGGGGGGGGAAATTACATCAATTGAAATCTTGCAGGACAATGTTGACAAGATAATTGTGAACATCGTCTGGTAGGAAATTATTTAAGCTTGTTAACTGTGTCCACTTTTGGAATAAACTACTCAAAATAAAATATACTTTTTTTTTTAGACAGTAATGTTTGGAAGAGGGTTAGGACCACATGTTTTCTTTGAGACCTGACCCAACATATATCTTTTTTTGTTCTGAGATTAAAGTTAGGATTTTGAGAAAAAAGTCAGAATTCTGATATTTAAATCAGAATTTAATCTCACAACTCAAAATAAAATCCCTTTTGGTCAGATCCCAAAAAACTAATTCACATATGGCCCTAATCCTCTTCGGTAGAAATGAGATAGGTGTCAATGGTGCAAATATCTCTCTTTTATATACTGTGTGAACTTACTGTCCAGTTAGCGATTGAGCGAACAAGCTAGCTGACACACACAGGTTAGCTAACTCTGTCATAAGACTTTCATTAATGAATTGATGATGAATCACAGCACAAAGAAGAGTTATTGGGGCTGATGTGAGTGACTATAGCTAGCATGTTTCCTGCTCGCTTAAAAGGAAAATTAGGCATATTGTATGTGAATGTAAATGAAGGCCATTGAAGCAATACATATTCAGTGCGCACTATACTGACAGAAAGTGGAGTTTGTAGCTACAAATGTTTGTTGTTTTAACATCTACTGATTTCCAAATAAAAAAGGAATACATTTTTCCCTATAACACTCATCAGCGCTGCTTTTATTATGCAGGTACTTTTTTGTGTTGTGACTAGCCCTGAAGACACATTTGTTTCTATAAAAATGTGACAAAAAGCTGTTCTGATGACAATATGATTTCAATTTAGGAATATATGCTTTTGCATTTTGTGACAGGCATTAATGCAGTACAGCTTACCTTCCGGTCATTGTCACTCTCTCTGAATATTAGCTTGTCCACCTCGTTGGTGTCGGCGGCTCGGACTGTCTGCAGGGTGGTACTGGAGCAAAGACTCTGGAGGGGGGGATGGAAACAATGAGTGATCAAAGACACAAGAAAAATCATGTTGGGTTGTGTGTTCATAAGGAAAAAGAAAACATTCATTCAATTACAGATATTCCTACATATTGAAAGTGTGTCCAACCCCCACGCACACTTTGTACAGTAATGTTCTGAGAGCAGCCATTGTGTCCAGCTCCATGCACTACACTGCACATTTGAATGATTTTTGAAAGAAGCGTCCCACAAACCACCACCTCACTGTCCCCTCTCTTTATCTGGCTCTATGTACTGACCCCATGGACTGTGTGCATGGTTAAATTCCCCTTTGTGGACTCTTTTAACAATTAGTTAAACATTCGACCATCTGTGTTTGAAGACAGTTGAATGAGGTAATCCCTCAGCCAGTGGTTCCCATACCGCGCGGCAGGGACTGGGCGACCTGATTGAAATTCAAAGCACAGATTAGATAATCGGGTCAAGCCAATATAGCGAGCAGAAAAAGGCCCTTTAGACTGAAATGTCACAAATCAGTCCTGCTTCGGCCACCAAGAAACGGCACAGCAGATCAGAACAAACACATGCCTTGAGAGAAAGTGGAACAACTCTCTGCAGACCCCCCCCCCCACATCCCCACCACTGCCTCAACCCCATTCCTTCAAGCTCCCCCCCCCCACCCCTCCCCTCCCCAAAAGCAACTTTCTAAAGCCCTAACAAATCGCTCCATCTTTCACTCATTTAGGCCATCCAAATGCAGGGTCAATATGGTCCCCTGGCAGCCAAATGCTAATGCGCTTAAGTGCGCTTAAGCAGCTTTGTGCAATGAATAGGCCAAAGAAGGAGCTAGGGAGAAGGGCAAGAGATACTTTCCCTGTCAAAAAGTCATTGTAGCGAAGACAACCACAGAGTCGCTTTCTGCCATCTCTGATCAGACTGCACCAACTGTGGTCACGGGTTCTACTTTCTGATTACTATATATCTTTTTCAAACTATTTCTTTCAGATGCAAGAGAGGTATTTTTATTGTTAAAGAAACTTTCAATTATTTTCTTGGCTAATTGATTGGTTATTTGGTCCATAAAATCTCAATGGAAAATGTTTCCAGAAACTCAGTGACTTCTTCAAATGTCTCGTTTCTTTTCTACAACTTAAAAAGATCTAGTTTACTGTCGAAGAGAAGGGAAGAAACCAGTAGAAAAACAATACTTGAATTTGGCTTGTTTGTCTTGAAAACTAATCAAACCAGTACATATACTATCGAAAAAGGCAATTCATTTATTTTACTCTGCGGCTCTATATACTGTATAGGTGACACAAAGTACACGTTTTCTAGAAAGTGTAGTGACAGCTGTGAGTTTGAAGTATTCAAAGAAAGACTTTGAAATTGACTTCAGATTCTACTAATTCTTCCAAGCAAGCCCCCTTCTGTGGTCTGCTTTTCAAATCTAGAAGTCAGTCAGGCAGAAATCCCTGGACAGCTTAAAGTGAGGCCAGAAGCACACACTGCATCCTGGCACAATAAGCATGGATATCAGGAAGTGAAAAATAGCCCTCCATTATTATGATTTGATAATCTGGTACACAGGGCTTGGATCAAAACACAGTCATCACTAAACCTTAATATGTCCCCTACGTTTAGATAAGTACCTGGATACAAACAGATAGAAGAGACTAAATGTTTTACCCAGAGAAGAGGGAGAAGACATTATTCTCATTGTGCAACTCGTGCCAAAAGTGTCACCACAAGCGAGACTCAATTAGAAGAAAACACAATAACCTAATGCTGCCTTTTCTTGTGAGGACGTGTCTCCTCCAAGAACAATTACATTCAGGATTACAGGGTGAATTAAACAATTTAAACTTCAGGGAAACAAATGATTCCCAACGCAGATGTTTGGCTCTTTCCAGGAGCAGGAGAGAAGCATTGGCTTCATTTGAAAGTGTTCTACATGCACTCAGTGTCTAATTGAACAGGATAAAGCAGCTTTCTTTCATTTAGATGCCCACTGGTGCGGCCGGAGCCCTGGGTGTCCTGTGGCGTGGCGTTGGACGCTGACATGTGTCTGATTGATCCATTCATCAGCTCATTGACCGAGCGATCAGTGTGTCGGTGCAGGGGCTGGTGGCTGATTGCATCCGATTGATCAAGCCTCCCTTACTGTCGTCCTTTGTGAGAAACATCCCCCCTCATCCAACACACACAGCCCCGCTCATCCCACTGCCTCTGTCATAAGATCAGCCCACCAAACACCAAGAAGGGGAAAATGAGAGTCCCATGCTGTCACTTAGACCTATAAATGCAGTGATGCTGCCAGCAGAGTCCAGGTGCTCGTCTGCACACAACGACGTGCTCTCACTGACCACGCTAAATGATATTATCTTAATTCATTTGGCTGCAATTGGCTTCTTATTTAATCCATGACAATTAGTAAAGGGAGGGAGCGGTCAAAGGATGGGAACATAAACAGACAGCCGTCAGGTACAGCAGCTGTAGTCCAGAGGACAGTAAGGATGTCTTCACTCTGCACTCTTTAGATGATCCAGCAAAGTGACTTGGCATCACATCCCTGCATTATGGGTCAGAGGTCAACGCTGAGTGTTTGCAAAGGGGCAGGGGCCCGGGGGGGCCGGGATGAGAGGTTGCAGAGGAAGGCGCTGCCTTTGTGCATCAATGGAGGATAATCTCATGACTGTCGAAGGAGGAAGCGGCTGTTTAAAGGAGCTCTCTATTCCAGCTGCTCTCCTTAGAAGAGAGGTTAAAGCAATCTGTCCCACTTCAAAGACCAAACACACACACATTCAAGCCTTCTGTCTCAGGTCCTGCCAACAGATGGAGGTGAACCACTGTGCCCGACTTAAACAGTAAGAAACCCACACACAGCCCCACGGCAGGGCTGACAATGCAAGCCTGTTTTACATGTCAACGTCTCCAACAGACTAATGGGAAGAGCTGAAGAAAAATCATTTTAAATGACACTGAAAAAACTAAATGCGTCAACTCCAAGCTCATTGGTTGATACATAATATATACCTTTACAAACAGGTGTAACGTGTTATTTAAAGGCCTGCTAACTTAGCTAAACAGTTGGGCACACAAGCTCTACTCAAACAGGAGTAAATAGTGCATACGTTGGGAACTATTTTCAGATGCGGATTTATACACTTTTGGTCATGTAGTGAGTTTCTTCAGCAGCAGGACGGTGAATGGGGTATTGAGTCAAAATATAGTGCAGTATGTGCGTTCAGGGTTCAACACTGTGACTCATTGATGTGATTTAAATAGTTTTTGCACAACAATGGAGCTCTACCGTAGAGAGGAATAGCATATCAGGATTGAAATACACAGGCAACACTTTTTAGTAGGATATAATTAGTAGACAGTAGCATTTTATTTTGTAAAGTTGGATTTTGTATATTTCAATAATATTATATTTAAGTGTATGCTCAATGGGACAATAGAGACCTTTAAACCATAACGAACATTTGAAATTCTGCTGGACTTAGTGACGTTTTCTTGGTGGTAGAATATATATTTATTTTCATTATGACTAGGGCTCCCTAGAAAAAGAGTGGAACATCCCGGCTGTAAACGAAATACAAGTGCTGTTGGTTCTGCTATCATGATCTGCATAACGCTTATCCTAGAGAAAATCTGCTAATTATTCTAAAAATAGATGTTACCCATAATTAGAAAATAATCCCTACGCCTAAATTCCAATATAATTAAAAAAATGAATCAAATTCTTCTGGCCTTGCCCTGGCATTGTAAGACTTTAGAAAGATTCTTTTGGGACATTAAACCAACCGAGTCCTTACATTTAGATGTATTAATTCAATGCCTTATAAAGTTAAGCCTTTAAATTGGGATGACTTTGGGTTAGAGTTACGCCTCTTTTAGTGTTGACTTATTAGGATAAAATTGTGTTAAAATGTTAGTGGCAGCCAGTAAAGTGCATTTTTTACAAGTGTGAACAAGTTGCAGAAATCTGTAGGATAACAGGGTGCCAGCCAATGGACAACTCCTCCGGACTCCAGGGGGATTTATGTTCCTCCCTCCCTCACCCCAATCCCATGCAATGATTCACACTAAACTGTCATTCCACCGATATAATAATCCATTGAGTGCATTTAGAATTCAGTGATTAAATCTCAATTAGGTGAAGAGAGTAGCAGAGAGTGTGCAGAGGGAGACAGACGATGGGTGGACAATGAGCTAACTATTCATTCTTCATTACCAGAGGCAGGGGACGGGGGCTCCCCTTTGTGTCAGCGGGGGCAGTGGCATTGTCAGAACGCGCCATTATTTTCTCTGCCAGCTGAGTTAAGGTGTGCCAACGGGGGCTGGCAGGTTCACCGCAGATTGCTTAGCACCCCAATCACTTTTCTTCCGTTCGCCACCGTTCATCACGCCCGTCCCGCGGCGACATCTTCCCGAGCCGGGGAGAAGGGGGCACCGGGAGGAGGCGACAACAAATTCGGCCTCCTGCCTTCCTGCCAGCTATTACGCAGGAGAGCCAGTAAATCAGCTGTGACCCCCCCCTGTCCGAGCTGACTGGACACAAGCCAGAGGATCCACTCCTCTCTCCGTGGAGGGCTAATTTAATGCTTCCAAACATTGTGGATTCATCACACAGCAGGGTGGGGATTCAACATGGATAATTCAACATGATCACCCAGCAAAGTTAGCCTGCGTGTGACCCGCTGATCAACGGTTGACCCTAGTAAACCTGGCCTGTGTCCCCCCTAACAGCGAGCGGCCCACTCACAAACCCTCGCCCCTTCCCATGAACTCGTGGAAGTTTGATGGCAGTGTGTGCGTCGTAGGAGGTCTCCCAACGAGCCACGCCCTCGCCAACGAGCGAGCTTGGAGAGGTAAGAGGGCAAGGTAGTGATAATGTGCCCTATTTATCTTGTGCATTATAACATCTGGGAAACTTCTCTAAAAACAATGGAGGGCTGCCATTCTGACTTCACCTTCAGAAACCGTCCAAAAGCATTTGTCCCCTCGGAATGGAT